TGCGCATGCCTGTTGTTTTCAGTCACGAAGCTGTCAGATAGGAACAAACTAGAAGAAGAGAAGAAAGAAATCGACTTACTTGTCAAGATGGATATACCATCGGTCGAGTTGTGATGGAAACGAAATCGAGATCAAGATAGAGTTACCAGTTTGGTCGAGAAGTCGGGAATAGAGTTGAGATTGAGGTTACGAGACCAAGGAGCTGTCAACCTAAAAATAACCTAGAAGAAAGCTATAGAAAGAAAAACGGGCTTACCTGTCGAGATGGATAGGCCATCAGTTGAGTTGTGGGAAGAGCTTAAGTGTGGTGGCGGAATCGATTGCGAGATTGACGGGACGGATCGAACGAGAAGAGTGAAGAAAGGAGAGGGCACGCATATCTCCGATCGGGCCCTGTCAGACCTGTGACAGGGCTGGTACATCTTGGCCAAGGCGCGAACGATTCTATTTCCAAACCAATGAGGCATACACCAAGTACTCTAGTCGAATTGGGAAGGACCCCCATCACCAACTGCTACCTGGGTTCAATTCTCTGTCTGCACCAAATCTGAAAACTCTGCACTTTCACAAGGCTGTTTTTTTTTGAGTGTCATCAAGACAAGAGACAAGACAGATATCAAAAATTTATACAGTTTTTTTTCTTTTCAAAACTATATTTACAGATAATTATTCTGAGGACCTGAGTTCAATTCCAGGCCTTGACTACAAACTCTTGAAAAATCAAAAGTTCCCCAAATTTTTATCAATTAAGAAATCAATTACACAATTCAGGATTTCTTTTCAATCTTAAGTGCTCCCAAGAATAAAAATCCCAAAAAAAAACATAGTTTTTACAGTCAGAATTCCCTGCTGGCCGAGTTGTATTTTTCTGGACACTGTAACATCAATTCAACACTGCTCAAGCCAATTAAATACACGCAGGGCAAGGTTTTCTTTCAATTTTTTCTGTAAGCTTAGCTCCAAAACACAGTCAAAATCAGAATTGACTGGGGACAGCCAATAAGTTGGGGGAGGATGTGGTAAATAATACTGTGTTTCTACGCAGAAAAATATAAAAATTTATTATTATCTCTTTATATATTATAGATATGGTAAAAATAACATCAGAAATGGATTTCTCAGGTAAAATTAACCCTAGTCACCCACTACAACTGACCCCATATCTCTCATAGTTTAGAAGTTACACAGATTTCAACCTGTCACGGGATATCTTTTGGATTCTTTACTCTCAGTATGGCTTGTTTTGAATACTGGATGCATATTGAATATTGAATTCCTTTGTGTTGTATTGAATTCCTTTATTGGCACATAGTGCATATTGAATTCCTTTGTAGGTGCACATGCATTCCTTTGTAGTAGGACCTTGTAGGCTAGCCAAATTCCCTCAAGGCAGTGCTCTCACCAGCCAATTTCCCTCACCTGCATGCATTAGACCAGCTAAATTCCCTCATTGGATCTTCAGGCCAGCTAAAATGCCTCAAAAGCCTGTACCCTGGGGCTAAAATCCCTCACATTTGTCTATATAAGGAGGCCTCTGCCTGCCAGTTGTTCCCTCCATCATCCCACCAGTGGACCAGATCATCTCAACCACCCTTACAGATTATATACAAGTGACAGCCATAACAACACATTATATTGAAATACAACCATAACACTTTCATCATCATAACAAGTGCCAAGTGCCATAACCTGCCTCACATACCATTACTGGTTGAAGCATAGCGCTCCCAGAGCTCCGCGCCTTGGTTTTAAAGCTTTTGAACAACAGCTTCATCAATATAATCATCACTCATTTATAACTTCAGACCCTTATAAACATCACTCGGAAGCTTCATCTTGAACTATCCTCTATCACGATAAATATAACTGCCAAGCTAAGCTTGGTGGTCTTGTTGTTCTGATAGCATAGAAGGGCAGAGCTTGCAACTCCACCATCCCCTTCTCCATTCAGCAAAAGGGTTTCACAGCCACTTTTGAGTCTTACAGCGGAGTCGTCTGAGTCGGACGGGTATCTAGGGTTAGGAACTGAGAGAGGAGGCGTAAGCGGGGAAGGATCACAAATCAGCGGGGAATGCACTTACGACGGAAGTGGCGAGAGGCAGGGAAGGGGTTGGTGCGGGTGGGCGCGAACGGGGAGTTGTTTACTACCGGACGAGGAGTAATCGCGCGGGAGTGACCTGAACCTGGAACCTCAGAAGGCCCTCGCTCGGCAGGCCGGGGAGTGTGTAAGAAGTTGAGGCGTGGAGGGGGAGACGAGTCTGGAGTGGTGCGTTCGGGAGCGTCGCCAACAGAAGGAGGTGGAGTAGGACGGAGGTCTTCCAGCTCGGGGTCGATACGCATCGGATTGTCAGGCGGAGACCGGTGAACCGGAGATCGATCCATCGGCGTTGGCGGGCCCGAGGATATCACAATCGGTTCGATATCAATGGTGGTATCGGCTGGAGCTGGGGATCGGACCGGTGTCGGGGAACGCGCGCGCTCAGGAGTGGGTTGTCGGGGCACCATCTGGAGGTCGGCAGCCGGTGCCGAAGGAGGAACGGGAGAGTCCGATATCCTACGGGGAGAGCGGCGAAGGGGAGAATGGCGAGGAGAGCCCCGAAGAGGAGAGCCACGACGTGGGCTAGAGACTGGACGACGTAATCGCTCGTCGTAGAACGGTTGGGTCACATGGTGTCGGCTGGCCCAGCTGCGAAGAGCGGCCCGATACTCGGGGCGGGACGAGAAATCGGACTCGTGAGGTCGGGGCGTCATTCGGTCGGAGCCAGCGGGGGACTCAGGGGAGGATTGTGGAGGTTGAGGAGGTGGTGATGGGGGGCGAGAAGAGGGCGTAGGGGAAGCTGCAGAGACGCTAGCTGAGTCGGGCACGACAAAATCGTCCAAAGAGTTTCCGCGGGTAGCGGTCCGAGGACGCTTGGGAGGTCGAGGACGACCGTGGGAATTAGGACTGTTGGCGCGGGTGCGGCGACGAGATCGGTCGGACGGATGCTGGACTAGAGAGCAGCGGTGTTTGGCTTTGCGACAGAAGTCACACGCATGGTTCGAGGACTCGCGGATGCACGTAGCGTTGCGGCTTTGACAGTTGGAGCAGGTGGACATGGTGGGAAGATGGGGGAATGGGAAGGAAGTTGGGGAGAAGAGGATCCTGGGGACAGGATTTTAAGCGTTGGGGGGATGTGGTGGCAGGAGCGCGCCTTGGCCAAAGCTTTGGCCGGTTTGTTTGGGGCATGCGGAATGCTCGCGGCGCTGATGCGGAAAGCACGCGGAGCTGACGCTACACAAGCAGGCTGAGGAAAGCGGCGGTGCATTAGTGGAAAGTCTAGCTTTCCGAGGCGCGGGAAAGCGGAGAAAGGTAGACCGAATGCACAAGGTTCTGAAAAGCTTACTGCGGGGAATTCGGGCATCGGCGGACGCCGGGGATCACGGCCGACTGCGGAACGGGGGTTCAGTGTATACTGCGGAGAGGCTACAAAGAGCGGGGAGCACCGAGGGGCAGAAGCGGGGTTCGGAGCGGACCAGAGGCGGAAGCGGCGGTGGGCGACCTGCTTAGGAGCGGCCGGAGGAGTACCTGGCCCGACAGGCGTCGGAGGGGTGACATGCGGAGTCCGAGGGGGTGACAGCGGATGACATCGCGGGAAGTAGGAAGGGACTGGAGTGTGGGATACCTAGGAGGAGTGGAGTTCGAGGCAGAAGAGGGGAGAGAGAGGGGGGACTTATGACTCAGAACATATCGGAAAAACAGAGTGACTTAGGAGTGAATCGTGTATTAGCCTAAAGAATTGTTAGAGATAGATTAGAGTTAGAGTATTACCTACAAAAGATCAATAAAAGAGAACTAGTTTACCTACCTACAAGACCATCAAGCAAGTTACCCCGGACAACAAATCGGAGTAAGACGTGTTGCGGAGCGGAGAAGGACAAGAAATCTCCTAGGGCGCGCCTTACTTTCCACAACGTGAGTCGTGACGGATGGGTGGCGGAGGGCCGTTGTTGTCTGCGCGAACAGTGGGCTGGTGTGTCGGAGGGTGTTCAGAGGGGTAACCCCTGCCACTGTGGTTTGGGTGGGACCCCAGGTGATATTGTTGGTAAGACATAGGCTGTGATGAGGAGGAAGCAAGGATGGTGTTGTCAGTATATTGTCTTTTAAAGTAAATGAAGGGGGCGAGTGGAGGCTTGAAGCGAAATTCCTCAGGCTGAGGGAAGCAATCCAAAGAATTGGCACAGGGGATATGTAATGATTCAGACATTTCTGGCCACCATTGGGTCCTTGGGCTCAAACATATATTTAATCATTATTTTTCTTTTCTTGTCGTTTTCCTGTTTTTGTTATTTGTCACATTTTTAGTACCTCTGTTCCCTTTTTCCCCCATCTCACTTTCATACATAACCTTATTTACGGGCACCTTTACCTTTTTTTCCCATTATTCCCTTTTTAACTTTCTTAACCTTAGTTTCCCTTTTCCCCCCTTTATTCCACTTTTTACTCTTTTTTCATGTTTTTACTTTTTCCTCTTCTTTTACCTTTTCCCCCCCCCCCTGGTTTCCGCTTTTTTTCCTTTTTTTCACCTTTTTACCCCCTTTTCTGCCTTTTTCTCTCTCACTTTTTATTCCCCTTTCCTCTCTCACTGTTTCCCTTTTTACCTTTTCTTTCCCATTTTCTCACCTCACTTTTTCCCCTTTTTTACCGCCTTTATTACCTTTTTGCCTTTTTTTTTTACCTTTTTTTATCCTTCTTTTCCCTTTTTTTTTCCTTTTTTCTTTCCCATTTTCTCACCTCACTTTTTTTCCTTTTTTACCGCCTTTGTTACATTTTTTTTACCTTTTTTACCTTTTTTTGCCTATTTTTTCCTTTTTTTTTCCTTTTTTTTCCTTTTTTTTCCTTTTTTTTCCTTTTTTTTCCTTTTTTTTCCTTTTTTTTCCTTTTTTTTCCTTTTTTTTTCCTTTTTTTTTCCTTTTTTTTTCCTTTTTTTTCCTTTTTTTTCCTTTTTTTTTGAGGTTATTCCTTACCTGCTGGGTTCCTTAGGGGCCTGGTATGCGGATCGGGTGCGAGCGGCACGCTTGGGCGTTTTGGGGGCCTTCGGTTGAAGCTGCGTGCTTCGATCGGCGTCGGTTGAGGTGGTTTTGAAGGGGTGGATGTTAATTAATAGGTCGAACGGGTTGTTTTCAGTCGGTCGAGGTGGTTCGTGGCTGGATTTGGGGGGAAAGAAAAAAAAACGGCGGGGGGGAAAGAACCGGGCAGGCCGCTTACGTGATCAAAACATCCAGGGATGTTTTGATCACGTAAGCCCAGCCAAGAACCTTACCAATACGATATTGGTAAGGTTCAGAGACAGGAACCTTACCGATATCGTATCGGTAAGGTTCCGAGCTTGTCGAGGGGCGGGTCAAAGCACCCGCCCCTCGCTTAACATACCCGCCAGGCCAAAACCGACCTATGTCGGTTCTTGGCTGGCGTGCAAGCCCACCCGCCCCTCCAAGAGGGGCGGTTCTTCTGCACGCCCCTCGGAAGCGTGATTTCTTGAAAAACACGCTTCCGA